GGCTCTCAATAGCAGTTGCGAGAAAAAATGTAAAAGGTACAATCACGCAAAAGCCGAATTCTCCAAATTCTCCAAGCCCCAGCTTCAATCATTCTGAGAGGTAAACGTCCAACCATTTTCAGTAACAGCATGCGTATCACTGTCCATGCGGTGGTACAGTGTTGATCAGTTGTTGCTTGGGAGAGTGAAACTTGAATAAACAAAAGTGTTAAATGCGGACAAGATTTATAGGTTGAGCCATATTCCTTATCAGATCCTCATGCGAATTTCGGATAATCCCGAAATTATTCGGGATTATCCGAAATGCGCTCGCCACTCAACAGATGCCCATTTTCAAAAATTTCAATTTATCACGTCGATGTAGAGAGGACTGCATAGAAACCTATGTGAAAAAATGGAGCAGGTATTTATCCATGAAATCACCTGCGAGAAGCGTCACAAAGGCATTGTTCCTAAACTCTGAACCGCAATGGTGAGCATAAATAACGGCCGACCAGCCGACCTCCAACAGTACTACTTGTTTGCTCTCACAGAGGTTCATTCACACCAGTAATCACTGCGGCCCATGTAAACTCGTTCCTATACGAATCAATGGCAAAATTACCTACAGAAAAGTTTGATAATAACTCTTATGCTTTATTATTTCTGAAGCAATATAGTGAAAAATTAGAGGGGCCGTCATCATGAAGACGTCTTTGTTAGCAGATTCTTTTGAAGATTTGTGGAGTAAACGGAATGATCTTCTTTTCGCACAATGTTTCTTGGACTCAGAAACTCCCCCTGGTTTTGAAACCTAACGTTTGAAGTTGCGACTCCAGCGATATTGGTGAGGCAAAACTAAGACTGGAGTTGTTAGGATTTCGGATCAGGAGTACTCGCTGTTGTTTGAAATCATAATCTGATCATTGGGTTTGACTAACATTTATCTACCTAGGCAACGAATTATTGACCGTGTCGCTGCGTAACAAATCGCCATGGTTCATTTGCTAATTATTCTCAGTGTCATCGCGACCTCGCTGGTAAGTGTGCTAATGATAATTTAGGGCCACAGATTGTGAACATATGAGGATATAAAATTCATGAACAGTTGGAACAAACTATGACACCTTGAAAATATTTGTTAGAAAAAGAATGATATCGGCATGATAACATAACATTGTACTCTGTTACAGGCCTGCGCTCCGAAGTCTGGGACAACTGGAACTGGAGGAACAACCGGCACTGGTGGAACAACCGGCACTGGTGGAACAACCGGCACTGGTGGAACAACCGGTACCACTGGTACTGGAGGAGGGGCAACTGGTACTGGTGGAACAACCGGTACCACTGGTACTGGAGGAGGGACAGCTGGTACTACCACTGGTGGGCGAAAACGTGAAGTCGAGCATGCACAGGCTATTGTCGTTACTAAAGCCAACTTCAATCCGAAAATGAATCCAATCTACATGAGTGCCGTCGGATACACGGTTAGCAACACAGTACCATCGAAGCAGAGCTAAGACCATTTTTGCTCCTGCCCCTTCCCTTCTTCTCAACCCTTGACACTAATTGACTATTATTGCATGCGATCAAAATAATTTAGATTGAGCAGCATGCGTACGAACGCGGTCTCATCCACAACCACGACATGATTCACGAGGAAGCAATGAACATAGGCGGCAAATTCGCCGTGGTCTTCACCATTCTTGATGTGGACTGTGACCAGGTATACACCACAGCATTCACAGACCAGCCGTTTTCCCCTTTCACTAATTACCTGCTGGGTATTTCACCGTTCTTATGGATGCTGTGAACTTTGTATTTGACCAGGTGTACACCACATTAGGCATTCGCAGACCCAGTACTATTGGTAGATCATTGTCATGATACTAGTTCCAATAAACAATCAGAGTTGCATTTAGTGACTAGTGCTACGCTAGACCGTGAACTGGAGAATGATACTTGTATAGATTAATGTTTGACGAGAACTTGCAGGAAATGATACACAGCTTCCTATACTAAGCCTGAGAGAGGAGTGGTCTGGTGCTGTATTCATTGGCAGTGTGTGGATTGTAACATTTCAATACAAATCAAATACATTCGATTAACACTAGCAAGTGAGTTTCTCAGTACTCATTTCAGTGCATATTAAACTCGACTTTACTTAATTTGTCCGGTGTGTCTCGGTGTTCCAGATGATGGAATAGTGTTGATGACATTAACTGTTGACCCATTTGTTAAGCGCGTTGATGCACTGTGACGCCACACGGGCGTGGGTGGATTCAGTCTGCTTAATGTGTTGTATAGCTAGAGACATTTCTTATAAAACGTCTTGATTTTCAGAGTACTACTTTTTTCGCGAGAATAAGCTCTGTATAGTTGAAATTATATCGCACGGATCAACGAGCCTTATTAAGGAGATGTCAACTCTCAGGTATCTGAGCATGCTATAGTCAACTGCGGTGCCAAGATCAACAGTTCTATGGGATGGCAGCTTAAGTGCTGCAAGATAAAGGACCAAATTACTAATTATTTTTTGGCAGACGGGGCGAGCGCCCTTACAGGCGGATTGTAATACTATTTTTCACAGGGTATTACGGACGAAAATTTTATTTCCCAGATAGAGTCCACTAGCGTGCTGTGCTATTTTCAATACTTTACCCTTCCCCCCCCCCCCGAGAAACGTCGCACGAATTCTTTGTAATAATTATACTCATAGTACTACATAGAAAAAGAAAGGTCACTCCTCTACACATATAGAGCGGAATTACCTACACTTTGCAGAAGTGAAATTGAAGAGCATATTTTTGTACCAACAGTTTCCATAAGACTCTTCTGCCCCGACGTTATCAGAATGTTTTGGTTTGTTAGCACGGTGCACGGTACGAGCTCAACGGGTTCTCGACGGATCGTGAACTATTGTGATGTTATCACAAACGCTGGTCAAAAGCCAAAAAAGCTCTTTCAGGATATGGAGGGCTTTTCCTAAAATAGCCTTTAAATAGATAAAACGAAAAATGGATCATCTAAGGGATCGATCTTGGCTGATCACAAAATTTTGCATCTTGGGTTATCTCCTTCTAATCAGGAAAGTCTTTCAGGATATGGAGCGCTTTCGCAGAATCTTCTCCGGCATTGGAGGGGGCAAGTACATGGAACATAGAGATATATTCAATTATTTCTGAGCGGGCCTGTGGATACCAGAAAAGGAATGAAATATCTGTCGAGGAAAGCTGGAATTGATCCTCTGACAGATATTCTTGCACAACTTCTACTTTGAAAAAATCAGCTTGGTCCTCGGCAATCGCCGTACCTCCTCTGCGTAATCTTTGCTTCCCTCCTCCATTGCTCTCCAGCTGCCACTGCAGCACCTTGAGGAATGACCAAAAGTGTGCATCGTAGAAGTTTATACAGCCGTTGAGGTGTTATCACAATCGTGCCATTACAAACATCGACATGGCAAGCCTGCTAGCTAGTAGATTTGTTAGCGGCTTGCTTATTCCATTAACTGCCTTATCACTCATTTCATTTTGGACAAGCACACAGACAAACTTACAAGCAAATCAACACACTAAATTGTGATTTATATAATAAAGTGATTTCAAAGAATAATGGAAACGGGAAAAGTACTCGCCCCTGCTGGTAAAGATCGTTTGCAGTCATTGCAGCCAAAGGGGATTTTGTCCATACTTTAGTGTCCGTGCGAGTTTTTTTTTTCTGGAGCCATTCGTTCAAAGTTGATGGAGAGCTTCAGTGGAGCCGCCGTCTAGAATAAGTGACCCAGGTCGTAGGAGGTGCTATCAAAATCGAACCGCAAATCTCCTTAAAGCAACAGTCCAGGCAGGGTTTCAACCATTTGGTTTTCAAGTGGTGGAAACATGCCTCAGCCTGATTGGAGTTCATGGGAAATGTCACAAACTTCAAAACTTACCTCTGAAAGGCGTTGGAAGCAGTCGAAATCCTTCAAGAGGGGCGGATCCACCGATCCGTGGTGGGGCCGCCTCCAAGCAGCTGTGCAGAGCGCTTGCTCGACTAGCGGTCGTTGCGGGACCGCCGCGCTGTATGAGGTCGATTCCATAAGAACGCAATTGAAGCGCTTCAATTTCGATTGCTGGCAAATAGTTATGTATTTGCAAGCATGCATGGGCAGGTTCGGACAACTCGTCCAACACACGTCTCCCTAAACGGCAGGGGGAGTCCCTGTCTAAGCCCCTGCCCGACGTTTTTTTCTACTTTTTCTTTCTCCATTGACCAACTTCTCACCTGCAACGTCATTATAGGTGGTCCTTACCCGCGAATTCGTTCCTGGATTGTTGCTTTAAACGGAGAAACTAACCTTTTTCGACCCAGCAGAGCTAGAAACCGCTGTATCTTCTTCAGTGGTCCTTACCCGCGAATTCGTTCCTGGATTGTTGCTTTAAACGGAGAAACTAACCTTTTTCGACCCAGCAGAGCTAGAAACCGCTGTATTCTTCAGTTCTTTTATTCTCTTCTATTCTGATCCGAACTCGCAGTCCTCTATGTATGTTAAAGATTTACGAAAAATTCAATCTGAAGAATTTTACAACAACTCGAATCTTAAAGACAAAAGTCAGGCTCGTGTTTGGGCATTATGGCGCCTGAAATTGAGTGTAGAGATGGGAGGTGGAACGACAGTGAAGAAAAAACGCAAAGAAACCGTCGACAAGACCGAAATCGAAACCCCTTCCTTCTAGCAGTGAAGGAGGCTTGCTCGGGGGAGAGCCACGTCCAAACGAGTTTTCCGGATATGCCAGCCGTTCCATCGGTTGATACGGCAATCAACCTAGCTGATCTCACACGTTAGGCCAGCCACGCACCACATCCCGCGGTGGGCGGGACCAGCTGATGAAACGAACCCATCGCTGTAAGTAGTAGGCCAGAGGCCTTGACGGCGCGCAATCTCGAGTCAGGAGTGTGGCATCACCCCTCTGAGCGCATTCCTGGAAATATTAGTGATGGAAAGGCCTTCTATGGTCACCTAATCCTGACTCGTGGCTTTAAGAAATCTCATGCACACAAAAAGATAATAAGGGGACAATTTTTCGAAGCAGTGTATATTCACAAAAGTTGGAATACGTTTCAGAGGGGTAAGAATTTGAAGGTTTTTTTTTTTAACCACTTTCCATATTTTTAGTTTGATTCGATAAAATTTACAACCTTCAGGAAGAAGAACTGCGCATGTCTGGTGAATTCTCAATTTCCTACTGTATAACAGGATACATAATACAGAGGAATTCAAACTGGTACTGAATTTCTGGAACTAGCTGCCCTGTATTTCACAAATCCACCTAACATTCTGAACAGTATTAGGTAGCCGCACACAGGTTGCATTGGCGCGCTTCTATTATTTCATTTCGTAACCTCATTTCTTTTTTCTTCCTTTCAGAACTATCTTGTGTTTTCTTCAATTACACTTTGTTTGTTTCATCGGATTGAATCCTTTTCTTCTGATTGTGAGTCTCTCCGTGAGGCATGCTTTTTTAGTGTGTGGGCGTCTGATGCGCTCTACACCAACAGTAACAGTGATGAGGTAAGGGGGATTCGTGTGGAAAATCATCAAAAAAATCATCAATCATACTAAGGCAGTGGGCAACCCTCATGACACAGCTTAACAGAGAATCGAGATTCCGACATATGTTTAAAACTGGGCCTGCGATAAGTCACTAGCCTGCTATGCTCCTGGTGGACGACTTGAAAACGAACTCTTGATGTTCTTCCCGAATAGTGAGGTATTAAACCCGAGGATGAACGACAGCATCTGCCAAATCTATTATTGATGACCGAAAAAGCACATGTGATGGCAAAGATGCGTGTTAACTTATTCATCAAGAAGTTCATAATCTCTCCCTCGTCCTTTCTACTAGGTAGAGCTCTTCTCAATAACTGGACCTGATCAGGTAGTAGTGCCAGATGTGATCCACGGGAAGGAATATCGGCCGCATTGAACACCATCACCCGTACTGCTCACCTTCCTCGCAGAGCTCATCTTCAAGGGGGCCATTACGTACCTTACTACTCCGGCCATACTAGCCATGGCCCATATTTCCGAGATTTGGTCAAAGACTTGTTTCCTTTCCTTTTCCAAACATCCGCCATAGAGGTGATACAGCGTGTACCTTTGCGCTTTTTTCCGATATTGACACAAGTTAAGCGCAATTTTAGACCCATTCCACGCCATCTGCACCCATTCCTTTAAAGGCACGAGTCGGGATTGAATTGATGCGTTATTTTGTTCAAACATTAGGCAAGGGGTGCAATGAGGAACATTAGTGAGGAGAAAAAGCAAAAAGCACCATAGAAAACACTAAATTTCCCTTAGGAGGCCGGCCGTAGTACGACGGAGAGACACAGCGCTGCGAGGAGAGGGAGAACGCGAGATAGTACGTCGTACGCGAGAGACGCAGAGACCACGTATGCCGTGGCGGGCAAGGCCTTAGCGCCATTGCCGCGCACTTTTGGGTCGCGATAGTGTCGCGCCCTCAGTGCTTGGGGAGCCCACTATCGCACCTCCGGGAAGAACTTCTGCTGGTTGCCTAATCCTGACTCGTGGCTCTAATCGAACACCAATGATTCTTTAATTCTTTGCGTAGGTTCGAAGCAAAAACCTAATTACAAAGGTTAATGATGATCCAATCGTAAGTACAATAGCGATTTCCGGGAAAATTTGGCCCTACTTATGGTTATAAGGCGCTAACCTAAAATGCAATCTTTCTGTCATCAGCCAGGGTCAACCCTTGACCGATACTTTTTCGTTCCATCGACTACAAAATACCACTCCAAAAAGCGACTTTTGCGTTCTGACGCGCCTTATCAGCCTTTATCAATTGTTATCACTTTCCAATCACCCACCAACAATGTCCCCGTCCCACCCCACATAACACTTGTAAGTATGGTTGCTCTGGTGTCAACGCGAGCAGGTAACGGAATCGACGACTTTTGCGTTCTGACGCGCCTTATCAGCCCTTATCAGTTGCTATCGCTTTCATCATGTACCACCAATGTCCCGGGACCACCCCACATAACACTTGTAAGTATAGACGCTCTAGTACCAATATGAACGACAAAACGAAATTGGCGATGCTCGCTTTCTAGCCCCTCTTATCAGCTATTATCAGTCGTTATCAGTTCCTATCACGTACCACTTGTGTCCCCATCCCACCCCCTATAACATATGTAAGAACCATGGCGCTATCATTGCTGTGACCCGAGCTATGAATTTCCGGTCAAACAAACACACACAACACACACAGACACACACACGCACAACCGCTTAGTGGATATATTAGGTTGGTAACTTTGAAATGTCGCTTCCTTTAGTGGCTTTGTTTCTCAGCTGAAACTCAACCTCGTAATATGGGAGACCATCCATTCGAGAGAGCGATTCAGTGCGCATATTGCGAAACCTTAGCCGTCAGTGAGCGGATGTTCTTCGAGCCAAAACTTTTGCTCGAACATGATTGATCAGAAAACATCGCCTGAGCGTGTATATTCAAGCAAGGAAAAACAGCCAACGAATCCCACTCATTACGTGCAAAACATTGAGCAGCAACTGGTGCACTTTCAGCTATGGTTTCAGCTCTTCCAAGACTGAGGTAAAGGAGCTGATGACGAATGGTCGTGGATTTTGACCTCTAGCTCTAGATGACGGAGAAATAAAGAAAGCCAACGAATTGAGTCCTCGACAAACCGCACAAAACTTGCATGGAGATTCAGTTGTGTCAACAGAAAAATTTGAAAGTTCCTACGTGCGACTGTTAGGGCCTTTCAGGATAGAAAATGGGTTCGGCCTATTCTGAGCGACACGAGCAAGCAGTATTGGTTGCCAATACTTGAACTCTGCTGCATAACTCCAAGAAGAAGAAGGTTCCTGACTTCGTTGAAGGCGTATAAACGAATGTTTTAAAACAGGCCCAAGGATGACATCCCCGTAACAAAGTTTAGAATATCCGAACTAGCAGACGCAGTGGTTTGCAACAGATGGGCAGCTGAGGCGCCTACTCCGAAACGGACCAAAAGGCAACAAGATAGAAAAGTCAAAAAAGCCGCTACAGTATGGTGAAGCAGTATAAGAATGGCTTACTATGGAGAGCTGATTGTGCGTCATATAGTTACAGCTAAACTCTGCGCACAACATCCCGCAGGCGAGGATCGGGCTCTACGTAGTCAAAGGGCAAATTCGGTCATTGAAACATTTTGGCACGATAATGCAAGATCACATGTCGCGAAAATTTTGCAACAAGAAATCGAGGAGTTGGGCTGGGACGCTCTCCCTCTCGCGCCATATAGCTCAGACCTGGCACCGTCCAACTATCACTGACTCAGGTCAGCGCCCGCAACCTTCCAATATTCCAGGCACGCAAAACCAATTTCGAAGATGACACCCGCGACGTGGACTCATAATTTGAGTGAACCATACTTTCTTCGAGTCGAATACCTGAAGAGTTCTACGAGGTAGACCTCCTTGCCTTGCATAAGAAAAGGTGGAGAGTGGATGACACACATAAATAAAAAATAAATTAGGTTGATAAGCTTTGGTATAGCTTTTATACTTAAAATAATCTTTGAACAAAAACGACATTTCAAAGTTATCAATCTAATTATATAGTAGGGATATCACCAGCAGTAGAATTTATCTAGGAAATGCATAAATGAAAAATGAGCATATAAATTGCACAAGGATACATCACAGATCATTTGAAGATTTATTCCAAAAGTTCTGTTACAAATGTATAACTATAGAACTGTTGATTTGGCACCGCAGTTGACTATAGCATGCTCAATGAGAGTTGACATCTCTTTAGCTGTTGAAGCGAATTCCTTCAACTGAAAATAATGATGTCCATACACACAAATATGAACGGTTAAACTGAAGTATGCTTTAGTGTTTTGAATTTTTGATTTTAAATTTTCAACTGCCATTACATCTGCACACATTCTTCCAGTGGCTTCTAATGTGTGATTTTTCAGAAAATTCCAAAGATATCTCCAGTCGGGGCCATCTAATGACGTGTTATTATACAGTACAATGACCTGTCCTA